TTCATCTTTTTCCCCTCTCAGTGTCTCTGTTTGGCCTTTCATCCACCCTTGTGTAAAGATGTAAATATACATAGCAGAAGGATGTTGTAAGCTGGTAAGGGTATATATTGGCTGAAATTCTGTTGTTTAGCCTGGTAAGTTGCAACTGGAGTAGGTCCGTTAAATCAATAAAGCGGTTTGGTGAGGAGTTGCCTCAACCACACCGCTACTGATTCAGCAGAGTTACTCCAGTGCTACTCACAAGGGTAAACAACAGGATCTCAACCATTGTGTCTGAAGGGTATGCAGATAAAGGAGCTGCTGGTTTTAATTTTGCTTATGTGCATCTTAGTTTCTTTTAGGACTTGTCTTAGCTCCTTTTAGAACAATATGTGCGGTGATTAGAAAGGCTATTCTCTGAATATGTCTCTGAAAAGTGGTTCATCTTTTTTGTAAGTGAGATGGTTATCTGAATAAGAGCATGCCTACACTTCAGCGCATGTGAGAAGTATTAAAGTTAGGGTACAGGTTATTGATACAGTGGGATGGTTTTAGCTGGTAGTAACAACATGGTAGTGCACAGAGGACAAAGTCTTAAGATGGAGTATTTATTATAACCCTGTTCAGCTGTTTATCGAGAAATGAATTAAGCTTTATTCATTAGAGGTGAGGAAATGTGAAGAAGCCATGACCACAAGCAAATTTCTGAAAAGGGATCTGTCCTTACAGAGGAAACTTGATCAAGAATCCTATCTTTCCAGGATTCCCAGTCACAGGAGCTGTGTAAGCACATTTATCCAAATACAGTTACAAGCCCCTTTTCATTCATTCATTCATTCATCCATCCATCCATCCATCCATCCATCCATCCATCCCATCCATCCATCCATCCATCCATCCATTCATTCATTCATTCATTTTGTATCTTGCTCCCATTAGTGTCACAGCACTACTCTGGGCAGGTTACAACTCGTAAAATAGAAAATAAAAATAGAAATATTAAAACTGATAGCAGTAAACCTTTAAAAAAAACCGATGGCACCAACTAATCTCAGAGTGGATGGAGGAAAAAAGGGGTGGGAAGAAGAGGAGGAGAGAGCAAAAGGGGGGAGAAGGTGATTAGCTGGGGTTGGTGTGGAAAGACTCCCTGAAGATCAGTGTTTTTAATTGCTTCCTAAAAATCCACAGAGAGGGGGCTAGGTGGAGCTCCTCCAGTAAACCTTTAAAAAAAACCGATGGCACCAACTAATCTCAGAGTGGATGGAGGAAAAAAGGGGTGGGAAGAAGAGGAGGAGAGAGCAAAAGGGGGGAGAAGGTGATTAGCTGGGGTTGGTGTGGAAAGACTCCCTGAAGATCAGTGTTTTTAATTGCTTCCTAAAAATCCACAGAGAGGGGGCTAGGTGGAGCTCCTCCAGAAGCTGGTTCTGTAAAGTTAGAGCCACCTCAAAGAAGGCCGTGCCTCTTGTAGAGGATTTATTGTCCTCCTTCGGGGTGGCCACCCGGAGGAACCTCAAGTAAGATGATCTTGTGTGTTGGGGAGATTTATTTATAGATTTATTTATGTATTTATTTATTTTATTGTATTTATACCCCGCCTATGTAGTCATTTCGACCACTCTAGGCGACATTAAGGAGAGATGCTCCAACAAGTAACATGGCCCAAGCCATGGAGGGCTTTGTATGTGACTATCAAAACCTTTTTAGACCTTCATGCCCCATGCACAAAGTCCGAATGACTTCTGGGCAGGAGATATTATGAGCTGGACTTAATGCACATCCCAATTTTCCCGTGATACATATATGCCCATTTATATATGCAAACAAGTGCTTGAATAGGGCTTGTGAGAACAGAAATTTCAGATCTTACCCACCCACAGTGAACGTCTGTGTTATTCAGATAGTGCCACTAAAAGTAATTTTGTACATAAGGGTAGGTATACTAAAGATCTTTAAGATATCTCTCTCTCTCTCTCTCTCTTTCTTTTCCCTTTCTTTTTTTTAAGAACCATAGAATCCACCAACTGGAGCCTGATGCAGCAGATTTAAACCTACAATTTAAAGGGTTCTGAGTTCCAGAATTCATTTAAGTTTTGGACCTAAATTGTTCCATTCTAAAAATCCATTCACTATTGCCCCATCTTTCTTTGTTTCTATAGCATGATGGAGAAGGGTAGTAATTATGTTGCTACTGTCCAATAATTGGGGACCAGATATTTAGTCAGTCTACTGGAAACCACAATATAGCATTATCTCCAGATGTACATTCCACCCTCTGATGTTGTAGAGGGAATAGGAATTTTCTCCCACTGTGTCTACTGTGCCCAGCTGCTTGTGTTTACTCCAGAAAGTACAGATATGCTTCAAGCCAGTCACGTGATTTAATTATTCTAATACAAGTAACAACCTGACATACTAATTTTTCCATATGGGACTTTCATTTGTGTCCTTGTTCCATGTTTCATCAAGGACTGTTTCTGAAAGCATTTGCTTCATTCATTTGCCATATGCTCTGAGAGTTCATTAAATGTGCTACAATTATCCTGATCCCCCATTAATGTGTTCACCAAAACCATATTTTTTAAAAAATAATGCTAGATCAACAGATGTTTCATAGTTTCATAGATCAGAGTTCCAAATGTGAATACCTGAATTACATAGAACTCTTCTCACATTGTTATGTATGATGCCATTGGACACTTGGCTGAGTGGTGAATTAAACTCTTTGTCGGTGACATCTCTCTTGTGTCACATTTCAGAACAGATAGATTAAAAATTGTGAAATAGATCATCATTTATTTGCTGTGTGGCTTATACGGTAATAAGGTCCTAACAGTCCTGCCCATCTCTGTCTCTCTGCAGCCCATTTTTTAGTTATGCATGTCAATTATTCATTAAGTTTTTTAATAATTGAAAGTTTAAAAAAAACTCATTTCTTTTCATGAACATTTTTGGTAATGTTATTACACTGTAGAATGCATATGTATTGTAATATGAATAAATAATTTTTGAGTCAACATATCCTAGTTCAGTAGTTAAAAATAGGATTTATGTAGTGATATCATAAACAGGCAGGCAGATATTTTTAAGTAGAACAAAAAAAGACACTGGTTTAGAGAGCCTACTAGACATGTTTGGCTTTGTCTATTACAAAATGAATCTTTATTGTCTGTTTTCATCCATTACATGTTTATCCAACCCAAAGGTATTACAAGCAACTGCACATCTTGGTGTGAAATTCACTGCCACAAGTTATAGTGATGACTGCCAACTTGGACACCTTTATGGGGATTAGATAAATATGTGGAGGATAGGGCTATCAATTGCTGTTAGCCAAAAGGGCAATAGATCACCTCTAATATGAGGGAGTGCCTCTGTATATTCGTTGTTAGGGTATGTGAGATGGAGGGTGAATGTGCACTCTTGTCTTGTTGGCAGGTTTGCTTGCCCAGTATGAACAGGATGTTTGTTTAGATAGGCTTTTGGTCTGATTCTGCATGGAATATCTTGTGTTTTTGTGAGCTCACGGTGACATATATCATTCTTCCTGTGAAGGTGTAGCAAGAGAGAGTGTGCCGTCCGCAGAGACGAAGGTGGAAAAAGATGATGAAAAGAAAGAGCAGCTGACTAGCAGCGAAACTAACAAAGAAGAGAGGAAAGGGTTAACAGATAAGGAGGGAGAATTAAAGCTGGAAGTATGTTTGGCTGAAGGGGAGTGGGAGGAGTCAGAAGTGACAGTTGGTGGAGGATATAAGGATAAGGAGGGGGTGGTGTGGTTTAGTGCGGTGGTGGAGGAGTATGAAAGGAAAAGGAGGGAAGAAAAACAGCAAGCCTTTGAGAGGGTCCGCACCCAAGGTTTAATAAGGGATTTCCCTAACCTCCAAGTGGGCGGACTTTTGCCTAATCCCTCAACTCAAAGGAAACCACCACCTTATGAACCAGCGAAAGAGTGGAAAGTGATTGTGGCTCCGTGGGAAGAAGAGTTACAACGAGAGCACGGTTGGAGAAAGGCTGAGTTTGAGGAAGGTCCGGATGAGAGGGGGTGGATTCGGCACAAATGCTGTGGGACAATTTGTGCCATGAGGAGTCCCCCACCCCCTCAGTGGGGTTGCAAGAAACCCTATGGGGACCGGCGCCGTTAGCCCCGTGGGATTATTTCCAAAGTTTAGAACATGTTAATGACAGTTTGTCACCCAGTTGTAAACCGTTGGAACCGTTAAAGGATGTGCTGGAGAGTGGAAGTGGCAATAAAGGTTCTGTTGTTAAAGTTATAAGGATTCAACCCTTATTATTTCCTGCCGAAATGGAGGGGCCGCCTGAGGGGAAAGGCGAACTTTCTGACACTCCCATTTCACCATTTTACCTTCAGGCTGGGTGGAGAGAGTACGTGTAGCCCAAAGTCATTTAGCGTGCTTGTTGGCTGAGTAAATAATTAAACCCAGGTCTCCCAGGTTTTCACCCAGTCTCAAACCATGTCATCACAGTTCTCCCTTTTGTTGTTTAAATACCTGTTTGCTTCCTCACCGTTGGCACAAGATAAGACCTATTGTTTTTATGTCAAATATAGTCCTCCTTAATCAGAGATGAGGAACCTGTGGCCTCCAGATATTGAACTACAACCCCATATTATGCCTGGTCATTGGCTGCATTGTGTAGGACAAACGAGAGTTAAAATTCAGAGGGCCAGGTGACAATGAGTGTAATCACAATTTTTTTGATAACCATTCCCAAAATTCCCAGGGAATTCTGGGAGGTATAGCCCCACAAAGTAATGTTTACAAGCTCTGATCTGCACGGCTACAGATTGGCAGTCTCTGCTCTCATTTGGAAGTGTTAATATAATATTCCTCTTCATGACAATCAGTTATCGCTGTTGCCCATGTAGAAAATGGTCCTGATACATGAGGGGATGACATTCCATCCTAATTCATTTGACTGTTGAACAGATGACAATTGGTACATTCCAGTGCTGTGATTTTGATTGTAATCTTTAAGCATTTCTTTGTTTCATTTGTCTTCTTCAGAAAAAGACGGCAAAGCATTTCACCCCTCTTACGAAGAAAAGCTAAGACTTGTTGCACTGCATAAGCAGGTTCTGTTGGGACCTTATAATCCAGACACTTGTCCAGAAGTTGGATTCTTTGATGTGCTGGGAAATGATAGAAGGTAAAAAATTATCACCTATAATAAGCTGTTTGTCAGTTAAATTGTTTGATGTATTTTAAGATTGGTCTGTAAGTTGATGTACCAGTGGTTTAGTAATATCTTGCAAATAAGATAGGTGAACAAATGTTTTGTGCATCCTTTATTTTGAGTTCTCTTTTCTATGCTCAGATTATGTAGAGAATACTTGGTCTTGAAATTATGGACCCTCCACCATCATGTCATCCCCTACTTGATAAAATAATGTTTACATTCTGTCTTTATAAGATGGTAGAGAAAATGACATTTTGCTTCTCTTTTCTCCTTGCAGGAAAGAATGGGCTGCCCTTGGAAACATGACAAAGCAAGATGCCATGACAGAGTTTGTAAAGCTCTTAAATAGGTGTTGTCATCTCTTCTCAACATATGTTACTTCTCATAAAATAGAAAGAGAAGAGCAGGAGAAGAAAAGGTAAGCTTTTTTCTTGGGCCTCTTTGGAGTTGCACAATAGTTCCATACTGCAGTGGCCCCCAACCTTGGCCCTCCAGATGTTCTTCGACTTCATCTCCAAGAAAACCTGGCCAGTAGAGGTGGTGGTGAAGGCTTCTGGGAGTTGTAGTCCAAGAACATCTGGAGGCCCAAGGTTGGGGATCACTGCCATAGAGTGTTCAGTATCCCAGCTGGCTAGTTTATCTGTCGCTTCATTGTTAAATAATTTTAAGTGCTTTTTTACAACCTGGATATGAATCTTTTAGCTATAGTGAAGTTTTTTCCTAGCTTTAGAAAGATGCCTGCTAGTCTTGAAAATCTTAGTATTTCAGAAAAACTTGAAACATATTAGTTATGTTTTAATCTGTCACTGTAGAACAAGAATTTTATCAGGCTAACATGATTTAAAACAGAATGTCTTCAGCCTAGGAAGATACAGGCATGTAATCTAATATTTGTTACAAAATTTATGTGTCTGTTGAAAAATTGGACTGTGTCCCTGTCTGTTTCCTATTAGTTACATTTCCTACTTATACAGAGCTGATGTGCTTCAGTTAGCATTCTGTTCTTTAAGTAATGCTTTATTTTGTGTCAGACAGACTTCTGAATCTTCTTGTCAGTCTGAAGAACCCCATCAGCAAAAATGAGGACAGGGATCACTCTTTGTTTGATTTTTCTTTCACTCCTCCTAACTCTCCCTGTATCCATGAACCTGAAAGTAAACATCTGGCTTTCAACTTTTAATAACATTTTTGCAATGGGGTGGCCTGCAGTGACTTCTAGGGATGGAAAATTGACACCTGGACTTTTACAACTTCTTCACATTTAGTTTAAAGTATGAAAAAAGTCTAAACACTTAATAATTATTCTGTACATTGCTGAGTCTCTCTAAAATCTCTTTTTCATCACTCCGTTTCACTCTTACATCTCAGTCTTGTTCAAGTCTACTCAAAAGGTAAGTCCTATCAAATTTGGTAGGGCTTACTCCTAGGATTGTAGGAGTAAGTATTGCAGTCATAGTATACCACCACAAATAATCTTATGTGATAATTTCTATTTTATTAATTGTATTCTTGGTATTGCCAAATCTGTAGAAACCTAGGTAATCACATGTTTTGACACTTTCATTTTTATATATAGTGGCTGCATAAAATTGTAGAATAATGATTGTTTAATAAACATGGCTATTACAGGAGAGAAGAAGAGGAACGTAGGCGTCGTGAAGAGGAAGAACGAGAGCGCTTGCAAAAGGAGGAAGAAAAGCGTAGGCAAGAAGAGGAAGAAAGGCAGAGGCGAGAGGAAGAAGAAAGGCGGCGGATAGAAGAAGAAAGATTCCGAATGGAACAGCAGAAGTAAGGAGTCATCAGTACTTTAACGTAACATATGTGTACACGAATTTCCTCAGAAAGAGCTTCTGTGCCTGGGTTCTCTCTTTTATTCTCATAGTATACCTTAGTGAATGGGAACATCTGGCAGTAGAGTTTGGGGCGAGGAGTTCAGATCCCCATTGTGCCTTTTGCAAATCGGGCCAGTTGAGGTCACCTGTAGCTGATAGCATGTGTCCTGCCATTGTGTGGCTTCCTCAAGCTGCAGAATCCCAGAGCCTGGGATAGGCCACACCTGATGAAGTGATGCCTTTTCTATGCCATGCAATGAAATTTATTCCAAAGTATGTGTTTAAAAATATGTTGTTATTTTTTAGAACTCTGTCCTTAGAAAACGGCATATAAAACAATTGAGATGAGCTACAGTGGAAGTGAGAGCCAGTATGGTATACTAGATAGAGTGTTGCACTAGGACTCAGGAGACCTGATTTCTAATCCATGCATGGCCATGAAGACTGACAAGCAGGTGACAATGGTCAGCCACTCCTTACATCTCAAAAACTGTAAAGGTGCCATCAAGTTAAAAATGACTTGATAGCACATAACAACAGTGGAAGTACTATACATAAAACAAATACAAACAGCACATGAAGGAGTATCTCTAGACATGTAAGCTGTTAATTATGTTGTATCTGAGACTGTTTTGAAAGAGGAAGTCTGTAAGACTTGTTTAAATGTTGGCAACTTGAATGGATTAGGTGCAAATCCATTGGAAGTTCCGGTGCTTGCAGCACCATCAAGTCCATTGTTTTCATTTATATTGACCTAAATTAACAGGGATGTGGTGGCTCTGCGGGTTAAACTGCAGAAGCCTCTGTGCTGCGAGGTCAGAAGACCAGCAATCATAAGATCGAATCCACACGATGGAGTGAGCTCCCGTCACTTGTCCCAGCTCCTGCCAACCTAGCAGTTTGAAAGCATGTAAATGCAAGTAGATAAATAGGTACCGCCTCGGTGGGAAGGTAACGGCATTCTGTGTCTAGTCACGCTGGCCACGTGACCATGGAAACTGTCTTCGGACAAATGCTGGTTCTATGGCTTGGAAACGGGGATGAGCACTGCACCCTAGAGTCGGACACGACTGGACTAAATGTCAAGGGGAACCTTTACCTAAATTAACAGGAGGACACAAGAAGGATATTCAAAAAGATTTTAGTTTATAGGCTGGATTAGATGGCTAGAGATGATTATGAGTGTGAGTCAATTTCAGATGTCAAAAGTTAGAATTGAATCCAGAAACATAGTGAGGCAAAATTGTGTGTTTAAATATTTTGCCATCCACCACCATTTGGTTTATCACATTTTCACCTCACAGTAAGTTCCATATGTTGTTCAGAAACAGTTTCATACAGATAGCATTGCAGGAGTCTGTTTTGGAGCTTCTGTATACATGGGTACCCAAGGCCAAGTGGGATTGTTGCAGGTAGGGCCATAGTGGGCGTAGTAAGTAGAGCTTATGAAATACACAGCTGGCCAGTGCAGCAATTTGCATGGTTTTAGAAGCAAAGCAAAGCAAAGCTTGCTGCTTATATACTGCCCCATAGTGCTTCAAGCACTATCTGGGCAGTTTACAAGTTAATTATGCAGACTACACATTGCCCCCCCCCCCAGCAAGCTGGGTATTCATTTTACCGACCTCGGAAAGATAGAAGGCTGAGTCAACCTTGAGCCGGCTACCTGGGATTGAACCCCGGGTCGTGAGCACAGTTTTGGCTGCAGTACAGCAGTTTAACTACTGCGCCACGAGGCTCATTCTGCCTGTGTGAACTCTGATTGTACATTGTACCACAAGGACTTGTAAAAGTTTCATCCAAACTTTTATTCTTTAATTTGAACTTCTTCATGTCTGCTTAGCTGGTTGTATTTCAGAAATACACTGTATACATTGTGTCTTTGTTATTGCAGGGAGTTTGTTTTCCATAAGAATATTTAATTTGCTACACAGATTTAAATATTACTCCTCAGATGCCTACAGAATTGTTTATTAGGGCAATTTGTTCCTAATCTAGACAACAGATAATGGCAGCATTGAACTCTCAGACTGCTGTTCAGTTCCAACAGTATGCAGCCCAGCAGTATCCAGGCAACTATGAGCAGCAGCAGCTCTTAATTCGTCAGCTCCAGGAACAGCACTACCAACAGTACATGCAGCAACTTTATCAAGTCCAACTAGCACAGCAACAGGTATAGTCACTGTGTTAGGAATGACGTTTTTAGAATGTTCAATGTTTGCCAGTTCTCATATCTGTGAGATTCCTGTTCTGTATTGCAATTAATGAAGGGACAGGTGCGTACATTCTAATGTCAAATCAAATTTCTGCTTCAACATGACTTTTTGAGCTTACTAACCAGAGTGGGTCATAATGCCTCTAAGCAAAAGGGTGGGAACCTGTTTATTGGTTTCAGTTGGAAGTAAACATTTCCGCAGAAGATAGATTGAAAAGTAACTGACTTAGGAGCAATTTAGGATTCAACAGACGGAATAATAATGTAATGCGCATCCTAACTAATTGAATGAATATTTACATGTGAAACTTTACCTTCCTCCATGTTCAGACCCAAAGTACAAATCCAGTCCTTTGCTTAAGTACCCTTGCTGTCTTCAGTGATGTACAGGGTAATTGTGCTAGGTTCCCACCCCTCTTAAAGCTGACTGACTTAATCTTTACCTCTTCATTCAGTTGTTTGGCAAAGGGTTCCATGATATTACCCATACATAGAACTCTGTACCTCCCTGACAATAGAGCCCACATCTTTCATTGCCCATAATGTTTTTTTTAATTTGTAGGCAGCTTTACAGAAACAGCAGGAAGCTGCAGCCACAGCAGGAGCTTCAGCTTCTTCTGTGTCAAAGGGAAACCCAGCTGCTACAGGGGAAATCCCATCAATAAATGGGCAAACTAGTTCTCATACAGACAGCCCTGAAAAGGACCTGGAAACAGATGCTTTAGAAGAAGCATTAGAGAATGGACCAAAAGGTATGAGTAAAATTTCTTGAACTCTTTTTATTTTTTAAAAATCCAGGAAATGTGTGGCACAGAAATCTGCTTATGTTACTTCTGATTGTGTCCCCCTTAGCAGTTGTCTTTGTCATGGTTGGCACCTAGCTTCCTCTAGCCAAGTGGAGTCCACAAAATATGCTGTCTGGCATATTTATCATTTGTTAGCTGTTTAGACTTTCAGAGCTCAACATCCTTCATTAGGATAGAAATCTTTTGTAAACAGATTGAAAGGGGGGCATTGTTGGAAAAATTGATGTTGTTACATCCAAATTATCCAAAGACTGCAAGGTAGGAGATAACATTCTGGACATTTTGCCCTTTTTCATAACTAACTTTGTGGGGATGAAGAAATGCTGGCAGAAAGAAAATACTGTCCCTCTGGTTCTCATGTTGTCTGCAAGGAATGTTTTAGAAGGAAGACTTCCTTTGTTGTTGTGGGATTTTTCTAGTCCCTTCACCCCCAACCCACAACAGTGGTGTGTCTGTTTGTAAATCACTTAGCTCCTGCACTTTTCTTGTCCTACTGTCTTTTTAGAATCTGTTCCAGTGATAGCAGCACCATCCATGTGGACACGGCCTCAAATAGCAGACTTCAAAGAGAAAATTCGCCAGGATGCAGACTCTGTCATCACAGTTGGCAGAGGAGAAGTAGTGACAGTCCGTGTACCAACTCATGAAGAGGGTTCTTATCTCTTCTGGGAGTTTGCTACAGACAATTATGACATTGGTTTTGGGGTGTATTTTGAATGGACAGACTCCCCTAACACAGCCGTCAGTGTACATGTTAGTGAATCCAGTGAGGATGAGGACGAAGATGAAGGTATCTTGTTTTACACACTTGTCAGGTTTCATACTTTAATTTGCATTATTTGTCATGATCAGAAGTTTTGGAGGAATCTGATGGTTGTCAAATTGGAGTTTTGAAGCATAGTTCCAGTGTAGCAAGTGGCAAATAGTGAGAAGCCCTGGAACATTGTGAGTTAATCAGTTCTTGTGGTCAAGGAATTTTCAGATAGAAGCTATGGATCACAAGTAGACCTTGTAGTAATTTAAATGTTCTACTTTGAATCCATTACTATCAGTGAACTTATTCAGCCTTGTCTTGACCAACCTCCAGGACTATAGTGGCTGTCTTGTCATAGTGTCCTATATGACCTTTCTCAATGATAATCGTGTGCTGTCAAGTCAATTCTGACTTAACAGGGACCTTTTCCAGGGTTTTCTATGTAGAAAATACTCAGAAGTGGTTTAGTCATCACAACTGCGAATTCCAAATTCTTTTTTTTAAAGTCCAAAATGCAATGCATGGACATCTTAAGGATAGGGATGTGTTTGTTTATTTTATTTCTTTTCAGATGCCCCATTCTGGGAGCTCTACTCATAAGGTTTCATTGCCTAGCATCCTGTCAGAAAAGGAGCTTGCCTATGTTCAGACCCAAAGTACTGTGTTCAGACCTGTTGGGAACTCCCTGTTGGAAAAGAAAGTGAATGAGGCAACTTCCTTTTCTATCAGGATGCCGGACAGGAGTTTGGTCAGTCTTAAGCCATGAAGCCTGCCAGCTTGGCCTTTCTCCAGGTGAGTCCAGTTTAGTTGTGGGTATGGCAGGTGGAACTCACAGCATGAAGAATTCTGGGATTTGGAGACAAAAAAATAAAAAAGACAAGACAAGAAAGAGGGGGGAAAGAATCATACATGCCTTCTGAGGGAAGACTGAAAGCCCTTCAGAGCATCATGATCACAGTGGAAACCCAGTATTTTAAAAATAATTAGTGGTAAAATGAAATCTAAAGTAAAACTCCCAGTCCATTCATGTGTAGAATTGTATTAAAATTGTTCGCAGTGTTGAAGTTCCATATCGGTTCACTGATTTTATGCAAGATAGCATTTCCCAAGATGGGAATGAAGGAATTAACTTTGACAAAACCTTGATGTGGTAACATCATTTATTCTTGTACCAAAATATTTTTAACAATTGGTCATTGCTCTTTTCTGTGAAGTTCTGGCATAGACTACTACTTACAGTCTTGCTTTTGTTAAATCTTGTTGAAATTATAGTTGGACGGCGGTATCCATGTGAGATCAGTTCCAAGGCCCCCTGCTACCGGCAGATGCCAGAAAGCATGAATATAGAAACCCTATATATAGCATATTCTCTGGTTCCCTCTAGTGTTTAGTTCCAGTAACACACCTTGGAAATGTATTTCTGGTACAGAAAGTTGCAGTTAGTTAATAATGCTTTCTTTCTAACTCTTTTCTCAGAAAATGCTAGTACTGAAGAAAAAGCCAAAAAGAACGCCAACAAGCGTCAATTAGATGAAATAGTGCCTGTGTACAGACGAGACTGTCATGAAGAGGTGTACGCTGGCAGCCACCAGTATCCAGGGAGAGGAGTCTATCTCCTTAAATTTGACAACTCATACTCACTATGGAGATCAAAAACAGTTTATTACAGAGTCTATTATACTAGATAAAAATGTTGTGGTGTCGGAGGCTGGGGCAATGCAGAAGACATGTTTGGAACATCCATCAAGCATACTTGGACCTTTTGACTCAGTTACCCTGTCTGATGTGTCTGTATGGTGTGTGTGTGTGTGTGTGTATGTATGAGGGTGTGTGTGTGTTAACATTTGACACTGGGGGTTGGGCTTTCTTCTGCAACTCATTGTTAATGCAGTTAGTGGGATTACGATTTCCCCAGTCCTTTCTGGTGACATGGTTCTTTGCCAGAACTTAAAACAAAAGGTCAAACAAGAGGCATATATTGACCTTTAATACCCCTTAAAATCAAATACATATATACAGTGGGACAGTGTTTCATTGGTGGCAGCTGGTATGAAGTTCCTTAGCGTATACACTTCAAGCATTTAAACACAATAAATCTGTTAATTGTTTGTTTGACAGGACTAGCCTTATTTGCGGGGGCAAGTGTCTGATGCACACTGCATTGGAGCAAGCAAGTTTCTTAACTGTATTTGAATGTCAGATTTTTGCATCATTAAACTTGAAACCTTAGTGGATGCAGTTTAGAATCCAATTTGTCTTGTGTCTGCTCTCATTGATGAAATCATTTGGAGCATCTCAGTCTGAACAGCATGCTTACTGGGTAAGAAATAAAAGTTTGGGTGAATGTTTGTGTGCTTTTGTTGGAGATCTGTGTGAAGCTTGTGTCTGTGTGTGTATGTGTGTGTGTGCACACGCACATTGACACACACACATACACACATATACAATATATATTAAGAAAATCTCTTGTTTGATATCAAAACTAGGAAGTTTAATTGTGCACATCAAAGAGGTAGCAAAACAATCTTTCCCTTTATCATCATATAATTCTTAGCCCAAATTCTGTGCAGGATTTTGGCACTGGAGCTAGTACATGGACAATGTAATATTTAGATAACCCTGTTAGCATCAGACATTCCAGTTGGAGTGTCTGTCTTGCAGCTATATGAGGAAGCATCAAATTAAACCAGTTATCTGGCCAGTTTCTATAGTCATCACAGCTTTTTTGTTGTTGATGTAAACTCAGTTTTGCACTTTGTGCACTTAATGTAAATTTAAAAATGTAATGTTATAGGAATTAATGCTGCACTGGGGTTATGGAAATCACTGCCAGAACACACTCAGTCTTAGTTTATTTATATTGGAGCACCCATTCTTATGTTCTGCCATATATACAAATTGAGAATTTTTAACTTACATATCAAGTTCAGAGCAAAGTTCCAGAATTGCATATTTACTCAGCAGTGACTAAGGCTTTTTGTTCTTTATTTGTAACAGTGTATGGTGCCAGACTTCCAAGAAGCAGGATGGAATTCAGGACTGTGGAAAATGACTAGTGTAAATGCTTAATGCACAGAGATGGGAAAAGTTAATTGGAGTGGTTGATGTACTCTGGAGTTTTCCCATCTTTGGTTATCCACATGAATGTAATCCCCACCACCACCATAAATTCTTTTTTGCAGCAAAACATCTATGGATTAGTTGCAAGTTTTATGTTTATATGGGTCTGTTGGAGTTCTGGAGTTTTGTTCAAATACCTTGTACGTAACTATACATGTTTTCTTTCCCTTTTCACATCTTATTCAGATAGTTCTCTCAAAGGACACTCAGTTCCTCCAATGTGTTTGATTTAGCCAGATAACTCAAGATTCTGTCTAGTTAGTGCAGCTCCAATCAACTCTTTTCTAATGCATTTTCTTTGCATATGTACATAACACTGTATAAACCATGGAGTTAGGATGTAGGTTCCTTTTTTAAAGCTGTATTTTAAATTTTAAAGAAGTTAGAGGGGAGGCACTAATTATATTCAATAGTTTAGATTTCTTTTTAGCCATATAAAACCCTGATTTAAAAAAACATTGTGTTGGGCAACAATATATGTTTGCATTCAACAGCATTTTTGCTGTTAAAATTTTGGATATTTAAATTCAAAAATTTGCCTATGACTATTGACTAGTACAGAAACATGCGGTTTAAAAATATCTTGGATTAATATATTTAATCAGAATTAAAAAATACTTATACAGAACCTCTTGGCTTTTTCCTTAAATGCTACTGGCAGTTGCGGTTGAGGAAGAATACAGTTCATGGTTTTGGCGAATACATGCAAAGCAAAATTTTGTCCCTCACTTTTAAGTTTTAGAAATATATGCCTATTTTTCATTTTCAGGAATTTGTAGAGATTTGTCTTTGATGTTACTTACACAACACTGGTTTAATATGCATTACTTATGGTAATCACACGTTTTGTGCTTCCAGAATTCAGATTCCCTTCTGTAATATGGGTCTTGTACTGGAAAAGAGGGGATACTAATATTGAAATGGAGAATAGAAAAAATGATTATGATTAAAGAGGAAAACAGCTGTGTGAATTGGTAACGGAAAGTCAGAAAAGGATTTGGGGGGAGGAAGCAAGGTGTAGGTTGCTTTCCCTCTGCCACCTCTAAGTTGCCACAGCCAACCTCTGTTTTTTTAAAAAAAGGAAAAGCTGGAAGTCTTGCTATAGTTCCCCCAAATCTTGTGTTCTGGCTCCTACATAAACTGCAGACCATAAAGTGAGTTATGGAAGGGAAGCTACCAAATAGAACCTAGATCTCCAAAGTCATTGTTGTTGCTGCTCTTATACAGTATTTGTCACTACAGTAACAGTGCTATCTTAATATCTTCTGCACAGAGAAGAAAGGCTTTCTGTGAAGCAAGCAGCTTCTAACCCTCATATTTGAACTACAACTGCTATTCTTTATATCCTTCACACAGTCCTACTTTACTGTGCCAGGAAGAGTCTTTGGGAAGGTTAATATTCTACAGAAGTTGTGGTTCCTCTTCACAGTTTGCATAAGTCTGCAACAAATGAATAGGAGTGAGGGCCAGCACTCTTAACTTGTTCTTCTCTCTTTTGGCATTGCAGCTAGCAGAAGAGAGACCAACCATATTTCAATTCTTCCATTCTTGAAAGAGTGTTCTATCTTTTGAACCTTCTTCAGATCTCCATTCCATCAATTATTTTACTGACACATACTCAGTGGATGAGTAAAGAACACTTAGCCAACACATCACCAACTTGTTCACATTCTTAGATTGCCTTAGAGGAACTACTGTATATTAAATATGACCAAACAAATGGAGCTATAAAAGGAAGAAAATGAACAGGAGTATCTTAGAGCAAAAGACTGGGCCACGATGCCATCTCTGGATTCTGCATATTTCTGAACCATGTTAGGGTGATTGTTTTATTAACCAGCTTTCAAATAACAGGGTTGAAGAAGTAGTCTACAGGGATTCAACATCCCTAGCTGATACTGGAGTAGAACAAAACAATACAGATGACTTCTTTAATTATCACTGTGATCTATGAGGTTCCACCCACTTATTTTTAAAAAGACCCTTTCCGCACCCCACTGTACTGGATAATTTTGAACCAAGCTCCAGTACACTATCTTGGGCAAAATGCTGTGAAAGCCTTTGAGAATACAAAATGCTGAAACATTGCCTGCATTCCATGGTTTTAGATGAGACAGATGCTAGCTCCATATGTACCACTGTTGGGCCTCTTTATGGCAAATATTGTTTGTTCTTCTGGTGGACAATCTGTGTCAAGTACTGTTCCCAGAAAGTGTATTCATGTTGATTCTGCTAGACATTTTGAAAAAAATTCAGTACCATCAATTACCATTCCAGTTGTTTATGTGGGATGGTTGTGTTTAATGTTGGCTCAATTTCTTTGTTCAGGGCAAGTTCAAAAGTAGGTGCTGGAGAACTATGACGATGCTCAGAGTTCCATTTTGTCTGCCGCACAACTAACAAATGTATATTTGGGATGTGCATAGTGAAAACTTGGTTTTGTCTTGGGTTCTTTTGGGAGTAGTGCCTCTTTTGTTTTTTGCCTTTTGTGCACCATTTAACATGAAAGGGATTAACCATTTAATTCTGTTTAAGTCATTCTGGCGTTTCTCCATCCATGTTCTATCTAGCACTCGTCGAAAAGTCTCCAAAAAAAAAGGTAACAGAGAATCAATCTACTGCAGAAACAAGTAACAGTACTACAAACAACAACAACCACTAAACAAAACAGTCTCCATAAAAACACCAGGACACACACATGTAAGGGAATAAATGTGCACAGAAATTAACCAAATAATTTTAAAAAACCGATCAAACAGGGAAAGTAACCTAGAGAGAGAGGGAGAGAGAGACAAATAGTAAAATAACACACATACACGCCTCTTAAAAAACCAAGAATGGCAAACAAGCAAAGTCTACAAGGAGAAAGGCAGGATAGAAATTAAATATATAAGGCAAAAAATGCAAGTAAACCCCACCCCACAAACATAAATGACTAGAATATGGGATAGATTTCTCTTTCCCCTACCACTTGATTCCTTCCTTCTCTTCAATGGTTTTGGGATCTGGTTGCAGAGCCTGGGGTTGGGAGTTCGATTCCCCATTGTGCCTCCTTGACAGGCTAGAGTTGATGATCCATAGGATCCCTTCCAACTCTGCAGTTGTAAGGTTATCAAATAACTGGTACAAATCCCCAAAGAAATTGTAGGGAGGGGGCTTTTAAAAAACAAAGTGAAGCTAGCAAGCAAAAAGGAAAAAAAAAGAATCCAGGACACAGCTATGCACAGAAGGCAATAAGATAACAAAAAAAAAAAGGCAACAGGAATTCATATACCGCAAGGGAAAAATATGACCCTGTGTTTCAACTAATCCAGGCCTTTTTTTATACCTTCGAAATTGCCACACACACCCCCTCTTGATGTTTCATTGATTGCTAGCAGCAACAACAACAACCTTCACAACACTCTTGGGTGAAAAATATCTGGGGTGATTTGAGATACAAGAGGTGAAAGAAAGGATAAAGAAAAGGAATACATGAAAAAATAAACTTTAATGTCCCTTTTTATTATGAAGAATTCATGTGTGAGAGGCTAACTTTTAGGAATCAGCTAAACAAACGAAAAGTGAACACCTCTTATGTGTTTATTCATTTGTGTTAGCTCAGATATCTCATCCATAATAAAAATATATTCAACTTCTGGGAGAGATCATTCTCTGTTTTAGATTCTAATAGTATGCTGATGACGCCTAATTCTATCCGTTTTATCTGAATCCAAGGACGATGTTTTCATTTTCAGTTGATATCAGTAATGAACTGGATGAGGGTGCACACAATGAAGACAGATACGGCCCTAACATTTTGAAAGACAGAGGCTGCAGCAGGGGTCCAGCTGGTGTTTGATGGGGGCCACATTTGTCCATGAAGACTCAGATGTACAGTTTAATTGTAATCAAACCTGGAAGCACAAGTTTCAGTAGTAGTGAACTATGTCCATTCCTGGAAATGTCTGTGATCAGGCTAGGGTGATACATAGCTTGGTTCCAGTTTATTCAGACTTCTTCCATGGGCTGAATGGGATTGGTTTGAAAGTACAAAACAAAGTACTTCATGTCACAACGTATCACCAATTTATTGAAGACACTCGTGAAATACAGTGGTAGCTCATGGACTTAGGTGAAGCTAAAGTGAGATTTGTCAAATTTAGAAGAATAGAATTAGGAGGTCCATGGTTATAAATCATGATGGCTAAATGGAACCTTCAGAGTTGGGGCAGGTGAGCAGCAAAGA